ATGAAATCTTAATCTATAAATTCGCAAAAAAATAGTTCCCAGATATTTAATAAATATTGGAGGTGAAATCATGTGGAATAGAATCAATAGATTATTCAAATATAAAACCAGAGACTTCGAATAGACCAAGAGGTAGACGTACTTAAATGCTACAGTTAAATAAGCTTCTCATTAGTGACCTGCTAGAATTCAATGTATCTTGTTGATCACAGCACGATATAATAAATTAAAACTTTTCTGTCAAACTCATTGGGAATGAAGAAACCAACTCAGTACCATAGACCATTCCCTACCATTTTAATCACCTATCAACCAGATAAGCAAATAGATACACAAACTCTTGAACTAAATCATCAATAAGAAAGCAATGCAAGGTATTTTTCACTTACAGGCAAACACACCAACTGGAAAGTGCAATTATGTTTTAGCTGCAACAAGAAGCTAAGCCTTATTTCTCATGAACTCGAGATAGGCGTCATGAATCCTTTCTCGTTATTTCATTTGATCCAAAACTATCTCCTGTGGTAGGTTCAATGCAAACAAATGTTTTAGTTACCTGTAACCATTCTTAGCCAATCTTAATCTTCTAATTTGTTAAAATGGTACTGGGTTGTTCTTGTAAATGAGAGTTTCTTAGTTCTACATAACATATGTCCCAATTACAAAGTCATCATTTCCTTAATTTCTTTCAAATCAGTATCACCTCAACTTTTGGCATATTACTCCTTTTGTTATTTCACATGTTCTAGTGTGGATACACATCCACATTTTTTTTGATAGATAATCAGGAAAATTTTATTAATCAAAGAAGAATACACAGGAAGAGTATTATCAGTTTAAACAAGAAAGAAAAGATATGAAGTTAGGCAGCCCCTCTATAGGATTACTAGTCGCTACATTAAACCAAGTATACAAAGTTAGATAAAATAATTCTCTAAATTACTATGTATTCCGTGTTTGGTCTTCAAAGTATCGATTATTCATTTCTCTCCACACACACCAAACAATGCATCCCGAGATAAGATTCCATACTAGCTTGCTATTCTTATCAAAAGTTTAAAAATTATATGCATATAGTGTTGCTGCCCAGGAATGGCCCCCATTATATACCATTAAATTATAATTCATTTTTTCTCTCTTCTTATCATCCGCACATTTTCAAATAAAATAATATTACACGTAAACCCAAAAAACCTTTCCTTCTTTGACCACACATTCTCTAAAAAATTACTATTCTTCTCATTATAATGTGGAATAATGGGGCCAAAAGGGTGCTTAATTCATTTCATGTATTTCATAAAAACAATGCTTACGGAGATGACTAGGAGTTTATGTCGAGGAATTAATTTTCTAGAAACAAAGAAAACCATCTTTCTTGAACAACAAAAGTGTTTAAAACAGAAAAGACTTTATGGATAGGTACACAAAGAATGCATGGAATACATATGTTTCCATCAACAAGTTGTTACACAACAGCCCCACAAAATATTCAGGGATTCCTATCACAAAAACCAACATGATGTCAAATGTGGTGTTTGTGTAGAATTCAAGAATGGGTAAAAATGTGAACATGACATGCTTGCTTTAACAAAAATATGAAAATAAAGAATTAAAATGTAACTGGAACAGGTATGTCAATAACTAAGTTTTGGTGGCCCCCTACTTAATATTATCAAGTATTTAAAATGAGTGATGCACACAGAATAGCTTCGATGTTATTGTCTTTCTCTTAATTCCTAAACAGTTAATCATTTTCTGTGTAGGCATTATTGACTTTTGTATTTCTAGATAATTTGGCAATTAGCACATTTCTGGTACATTTATCATTGTCCTGAATCAAATTAAATATGTCAATATTTTTCAGTTTTTTCAGTGAATTGTTTTCAAAATCGGATCGTTGGTGAGGAACGTTACGAAACTGTGCAAAGAGTTAAGCAAACTTTACGGCGTTACAAAGAGTTTCAGGACATTATGTAACGACCCGGCCTCTCACCGGAGCCGTTATCTTACGTACTGTCCGCTCTGGGGTGGACTTCTGCCCACTTATCCCCTCACGGCTTTCTGACGCGTCCCCCAGGATTCGAACCCAAGACATCCATCATATGGGAGACTATTGGACGAATTATCCGAAGAGGATCATTTAAACATAGCAAGAGTGCGAAAAATTGAGCGCTTCTTATCACAACATTCTTTTGTAGCAGAAGGAAGATAAGTTTTGTCTCAGCTTGGATTGAATCCACTTTCTCCTACCTAATCCAGCTTATCGATTGCATTAACTTGTCGAGAGGGAAAGAAAGGTTTAAGTGAAAAAAGATAATTGGCTGTGCATTCAAGAGAGAATTTCTATTGATTGAGTTGCCTACCCCGGGGTCACTCAGGTTCACATAATTAAATTCTTTTTCTAGATTAATTATAATTCTTGGATTTCTCGATGTCTAATATCTAAATGGAATAGCAATTCCACAATGTTTATTATTATGCCACTGTTATTCCACTTTATAAATGAGAGAATTTCCAAAGCTAAAATATCTGTTAATTTATTCAATGTTTCACAAATATTGGACGAATACAATACTTCACCATTAGTATTATTGCAAAAAATTTAAGCTTTCCTTTGCTAATTACTATTTACAAGTATATCAAACAATTATACAGAAAACAATCGAAACAATCAGATCATTGTAAAAATTCAAAAATGTCAAAGATGACCAATTTGAAGAGAATTTGTAGTAATCCAAATAGAATTAAATCTGTAAACAACAGTAGAAAAATCAAGCATAAAATCAATACTTGGAGATATATATGGTCTGCGATTAGATCCGGAGGTGGTGACACGTAGGACGAACCGCGCAACTGGCGGCTGCTCTTTTGATACTCTAGACAACTCCGGGAAAAGGCGAATGTACATGTATCGATTTTTCTCTACTGACAAGTGCCTAACATTTCAGTAAATCGTCATGAAAAGTACAATAAACACAATTCAGTCAAACATATAACCATATATGCATACTCTAAACGTGATTGTTTATAAAGTGAAGATTGTACCAATTCCATATGCCGATTTTGAACGGGTCGGATCTTTTGTAAGTGGTGGCTGCCCCGAAGTTTTCGATCCTCCACTGAGCCAGTTTTGCTATGGTTTCGACCTTCAAGTCCGCCATTCCTCTGGGTGTGCGCGTGTTTTCTGTGTTTAGCCCACCGGAAAAACTTTCATGTCAAGTCCGTCTATCGGATGAGCAGGAGGGGAAATGTGTGGTGGGGTTTGAATCTGCTAGTAATTTCTATAATTAAAAATTATGAGTAAATTAACTATTTTAAAATAAAAATTACTTTTTAAAATGAAGAAGTAAATTACGTGGTGGAGTGAGTCTCACGGTAGCAAATTAATTGGAGGGGTAATACCATTCGTACACGGAGGTTTATACCCCCGTTTACACTCCCCTCACATGAAGGGAGGGCCCACGATGAATAAATTAATCGTGGCCCCCCCTATTATGAGGGGGGCAGGTGGGCCGTGGGCCCGAGTAAATGGGAGTGTAAACCTCCATATACGAATAGCATGATCCTTTCACTCTCTCTTTTATACGGTGTAAGTCAATTCATATCTTAGCTAGTTTCACATTTCGTCCTTGCACTTATTAATTAGATTGTCAGAGTACAAATCGTCATCGTATTTTTATTGTGATAGTGGTCTTTTCATCCTTGCAGCGTGTTGTAACAAACATGTTATGTATAAGTAGATAGAGAGGTGATCGGGATTCTATGTCAACGAATGTAAAAACTACGAGTTGAAATCATGTCCAACTGAAGCGTAAAAATTCTTCTTTTTCTTTCAGTTTGACCGTGAATTGTTCACCCATGAAGGTTACTCATGTTGGTCTTAATTTCATGTTCTGTACGAGTCTATTATGTAAATATTATAAAATTTTATTTAAAAATATTGACATAGTAATAAATTCGAATAGGCTATAGAGAAATAATATATTGACTATTGAGCCGAGATCGATCCCACCCTTCACAAACTTCCAACCAACTTACGTCCGTAGGGGATCGGACTGAATTGGACCAAGCCAACATTCTCATGCCACTAGGCACTAGCTACTTGTATTGACTTTTTCTAACCCATTCAAGTCCAAAGTAAAAGTCAATAATTCCAACAAAAAGGACAAATCAACTCACAGCCCATACTGACCGAATCCACAGCCCTAATCTACATATACACACTCAGATTGGGAGAATATTTGGGGAACGCAAGAGAGAGTTTCAGAAGGGATCGAAGCCATGGCAGAAGCATCGCTGAGTGGTGGCAGCAAAGAAGCACCGAAGATAGTGTGGAACGAGAAGGATAAGAAATTCGAGACAGAGGACAAGAAAGCTTATCTGGAGTACGAGGTCAGGGGTGGAGGCAAAATTATGGACATAATTCATACATATGTTCCATCGAGCAAGAGAGGTTTAGGACTCGCTTCTCACCTCTGTGTCGCTGCACTGTCTCATGCTCAGACACACTCCATGTCGATTATTCCCACTTGCTCTTATGTCTCTGTAAGTTTCCTTTTCAAAAGTATTACTTTTTCACATTTTTGGAATGTTTTGATGGAATTTTGAATATGGATCGAGTAAGTAATGGAGAAAAATATTTGATCCAGCCGACCGCCCGACCCTTAATTTATTGGGGACAGGCAAAGTATGCTTTTGTAGTTGTTTGTAGTTAATGTCAGAACATTTGTTATTGATTGATGAAGAACTCATGTGGGAAGAATTTAGTTGAAAATGATTCATGGCGCAATTTAAGAATTTTCGACTATGAATTTGAGAAATAATTATTACAAGACATTTAAGAATGTTGGATGGATTATTTTTTATATTTAAGAATGTTTTGATGGAATTTGAACAGGGATCGAGCAAGTAATGGAGAAAAAATAATTAATCTAGTTGACTCCTAATTTATTAGGAACAAGCAAGCAAAGTATGCGTATATTATTGTTTGTTGTTGATGTTAGAACAATTGTTATTGATTGATGAAGAACTCGCGTGGGCGGATTTAGTTGAAAATGAATCATGGCAACTACGAATTTGATATTACTAAAACATTTACGAATGTTTGGATGGATTATTTTTTTTATAATTAAGAATGTTTTGATGGAATTTGAATAGGGATCGAGTAATTAATGGAGAAAAATGATCGATGGAGTCGCCCCCTAATTTATTAGGAATAGGCAAAGTATGCTTTTGTTGTTTGAAGTTAATGTTAGACCAGTTGTTCTTGATTGATGAAGAACTCATGTGGGATGAGTTTAGTTGAACATGAATCACATGTAAACTTAAGAATGTTCGACTATGAATTTGAGAATAATTATTAACATAAACTATGTAAACTTAAGAACTCGTGACATTTATCCCAATTGTATGCTTCCTCTCAACTTCTGTGTTTTTTCATTTGTTGTTTCGTGATGGATATAGAGGATTTACATACTTTGTTTTTATACACTTATATGAGATTTTGTGTGTACATTGTTGAACTCACCGTCGGATGCTATTTCGTTTGGCAGGACACTTTTCTTCCTCGAAACCCATCTTGGAATTCGGTTGTGTACACAGACGATGTCAAGTCTAATATTTGATGTCGGATTATGCCACATTAACATGGAGTTATATTTGTGTTTCTTTACCAGACGTTTTCTTGTACTTGTCTTATCGATAACATTATGTTACCTATCTTCAATTAAATTACTTGGATTAAAGATTGCTCTTCTTGGTTCAATAATTGTTTCATCATTCTTGTATAAAGAACATACGTATTATGTTTTGAAATTGTGACCCTGACGGTACAGAGTGGTATCAAAGAAAGAAAAAGAAGATGGAATCCACAATTTTTATCAATTTCAACCACATATTCTATCAACTTTTATTAAAATCTATTAAAATTTTGATTTTTAACAAAACCAAACTAAACCTAACTTCACTCCTATCTAGATCAATGGATCATATTCATGTATAGAACAAAAATAGAAAGTGGCTCTTTTGACAACTAATGTATCACAATTTAAAGTTTAAACCAATGTTTTCAAACTCGAACTAGACCGGACTCGATCAGACCGGACTGGCTAGGTTCAACTAGACGGGAACTGGACCGGGTCCTATATCGACATGAAAATTGGATGTACAAAACTGGTACAAAATCTGGAAAAACCGTCCGATTCGTCCAAAATTCGGCGAACTAGTCACGATTTCTCCGATTTCACAAATAATATTTTTCTAAAAAAAATTATAGTACGAAGAAGATGATGCCTAATGGGCCACTTGAGCTCCAATATCTTTTTGATGAAGCCCTTGTGCAAGGTTTCAGTCAAAACATTCAAAACAAAACCAAAACCAATTTTAAGCAATACAAGTATTTAAATAGATAAATATAAATACATATACTTGTATGTGTGTATAGAGACAAGATAGAAAAAGAAGACTGATAAATTTAAGAATAATGTTACTTGTACACAATTAAGTTACATACGCATATTTTTATGTGTGTACAGAGAGAAGATAGAGCATGCATTTTAATTTCAGGTTTGGCTAATAACTATGTTTTGGGCCTTTTGGCCCATTTACTTAACCACAATGTTAAATTTCTCAATTTAACATGGATTTTAAAATACTATTGAAATCAATAGAATTTTTAATGTAGTATATAAATCTATTTATTTATTTATTATTTTAACTCCGGATGGATCTCGGTTAAACCTCGATACGACTTTTTGACCCTTGATTCTTTGACTTTTTCGGGTTGTTTTCAAAACGTTGGTTTAGACAAACCATTTGGACTAGAATCTTCCTTCTCGTACATTTTTTAAATGTTAAAGGAGAACACGTTTTTTTTCAAAAGTTAAAGGACGTCCCATGCAATTTAGCAATCATGATCAATCAAAGAACTTCTCTCTGGTTTCATCCACTTAAATTACTTCCAGTGACAACAAAAATCTCATGCAAAAATACATCAATACAGTTCCCTTAACACGACTTTAGATTAAAAACACAAGGTCAATGTAAATAATAGCAAAAACTTCACAGTAGAGGAGCCACTCCGGATTCTTTGACGCTGCAAGACTCTAATTACGATAACTGTCGCTATTTTTACGGCAAATGGCATCATTATATTAATCAGTCATACAACCGCCGCGTCTTTCTTCCCCACTTCCACCGCCTTAGTCTCCNGCCGCGTCTTTCTTCCCCACTTCCACCGCCTTAGTCTCCGCCGCCGCCTCGCTATCCTCCCGCCTCCTTCAGCCTCTAATTGCCACCGTCTAGAGCTGTATACAGTGATGGAGACTTCAAATGGGCATTTGATTAATCATCAGTGTTCCTCCTCCTTTGCTTCTTCCCGGAGAGACGTCACTTACAGGTTACATATATAAACTGAATACACAGATGTCTTTGTTAGTGTTTGTGATTGTGTGAGAGTGAATGCGAACATATTGGATTTTGATTTCCTACTGAAATTTGTTCAAATTGATTTGATTGATGCATGGAAAATTGCTAATCTTGTACTTCGAATTCGTGAATTGTGATCGTCTTTTTGTTATTTAACTAAAATTCGTGAATTTTAAAACTTTGAACGACTTCTACAGGGATATGATTGAAGCAGTTATCTCGAGGCACATTTAGATCTTTCTTTTGTTCTTCTGGTCAAAATTTCAAATTTTTAGGTTTTTTATTTTTATTTTTAGGAGTAACTTTAGGTTGAAAGATTTGAGTTAAAAATCTATAAATTGCATATTTGAGTCAATCTCAACATGCAAGGTCTTTGAGCTAGGTTGAAGGGACCTTAGACAATCACAATAGATGTTACAAGGGCAAATTGTTTGTAATGAAAAATCGAACAAAATAAGGAGAAAGTAGAACGGTAACATTTATTCAATGAAATCTAGACCTCAAAATACTGTTGGTTTTCGAGGAACCATTAACCTCCACATACAACCAAAGTTGCCAAAATAATCTCATTCAATTCCCCATAGAAGACACCCTTGTCTTCAAGAGTGAATTTGATAACAATTTTACAATTTTTTCCTTTGTTTCCAATTTGTGATCAATGTGAAAGAATATTGAACCTTTGTTGTATCTGATCTTCTGCCCCGTTTATTTCCATCACTAATTATTTTCAAAGTAACTTGGCAACTCAAATATTACAGACTTCATTTATTCCCAGTCACCTCCACTTCACGTGACCAACACTCAAGGTGGATCTTAGGGATCTTCACACTACCATGCACAAGGAACAATCTCCTTATTATGTTGCATTCCATACATTTTTACAGGCTTGAAATTCAATTAGGAATCATTATGGCCACACCTAGGCTGGTTTCAAATTTATAATGACAAAGCCCGTTACTTGCCCTTCATCAGCGTAAAATACTGCCACACAATGTACGTAATAACTTCATGTTCCGAAATACCTTTTGTTCACCACCTAATTTTGGCTTAGCTGGAGAATGTTGGTTGTCTGCCATGCTGACATGAGTTGCCTCGGGCACATCCAGATTTTCTGTATATTTCAGTATTATATCCAATTTTTGTTGTATATGCCCCAAGCCTTCCAAATTTTTAACTGTATGTTTGATATCTTGGTTGGCTGAAGAATGCAATTTTTATCTAACATCTCAAAGAACTCGTTGATCTTGCACCAAGGTTATTTTTGATGATTAGATATACTTCAACCATCTTTGCCAATCGTCTTATCAGTTGCTTAAGTACCAAGTCCATGCCTAGCTCCGATATCATATGTTACAAAGATTTGCGATCATAACATTGATCGCAAATATATGGTTACAAATATATGGTAATTGCTTTTAATCAGGTGGAGCAAAGTCACGAGTCACAATCTGTCTCTGTTCTTCAATTATCATGTGTAGTAAAACGTGTTTGTTAATGCTTTTGCCACCAAACTTCTTTCCTTCAATTCAATTGACTTTTACCCTTCTAGCTGTGCAAATTATTAAAAGGAATTCTCACTCTTTAGTTTTCAAGGGATTCCCAATGATCCCTCCATGTACTGTTGTACTACAGCACTGGGCACAATTATGCAGCAATAATTGCTAGTCCAAAGACACCAATAAGTTGGCCCCAATGTAAAGATAACGAAAAATACATAGGTATGCTGGCCAGGCTGATAGATGAAGTAGTCTATGATGCAAAAAATTGTGATTTTTGACTTGTGTATTTCTAGTTTACGAAGGACTCTAATTACAGTCTTTGTGCAGAAAATATTGAAATCTATAAGTTTGAAAGGTAAACCCTCCTCAACACCTTCACATCATAAAAGAGTAAAGGGAAGGAAAAGAACAACCAACATGTGGTTTTCCCAGGAAAAACATTTAAAAAAGAAGAGGAGGTTTGACTGTGAGGTCCAACCCAACAAAAAATTAAGTTATTTTACGTCTTAGGTTGTGCACTGATAATTTGACATTCAGACTTCAATACAGGTAGACAAAAGATGCACGGTCTTTTGTATCTTGTACCTGTTTTTCCTAACTTTTAGGAGAGAACCCTCTAGTTCTATTTAAAAAGGCTGGTAAGAAAGCTGTATGAAATGGGACAATATGATGTTAGGATGAGATGGACAATGACATGAACCCTTGGTCAGGCAGAAAAGGGAACTTGGTTTAAAGAGGTAGCTGGGCTTGTTGGAAAATAAACATAAAAAATCTGTTAATCCTTAAAATGAAAGCTGAGTTGCAGTAATTTGAAATTCGTTCAGAAGAGTTAGACATCAATATCACCCAACATCCTGGAGGCTCTAGCGATCTTGAATCATATCCCATAATGACATGTTCCGTTCCTAGAAACTATTTTAACATGCATCTGTTTGAACATTAAATATACTCATCCAGAATGTGACAAAAAATGCTCTATGGTCTAATGAGCTGTCAATATCCATTGTATTCTTTCATCAGTTGGTTGCTTATGTTTTCTCGTTTGGCCATTTACTTAGAATTTGATGGCTTCTGTGCATTGTAGTTATGAATTTGATTTGCTCATGCAGCTGTGGTTCTTGTGGATTTGATTTAAACCTGAGTTCATCGAGTCGGAATACCTCAACAATTGGTTCCAATTATGGTAAATCTATAAAGAAAGGTATTATTTCTTTTTTCTCCATTGATGAGAGCAGATTCAATCTGGTCAAAGACTTCTACTGTGTACCCTACTTTTCCAAGCACTCTTGGGGATTGTTCCATCGGAGAACAAAACTTTTGTGTCGAAAATGTGGTAACCTTATTGGAAATGCTGATGATGAAAATGTTGCTAGTTACCGGCTCATGAGAAATGGATCGAGTTTGTCTTCAGTCAGTGAAAACTCCAACCAGAGAAAGTACGATATCAGAATTCGTGCCTTGCAACCTTCAGCAGAATTTGGTACTCCGCTTAGCTGTTGATATTTGTATGAAGCATTCTTTCCATATATTTGTCCATTTTGTACAATATTCCTTCTCCTGCTCAATCAAATATTACCTTTTTGTAGAAAAGAACGCTTTGAATGAAGCCATATGTATTTATTAAGTTGAATGAATGGACAAGATTCATCTTTTGTGGGAGTATTGATTTTCAGGGGTACTAATAGTTATCAAAAAATCAATCTGGAAGTTGATCGATTTTCAGTACTCATTGATTCGTGTGTTGTCTAAATGTACGAATCCTTGAAAGTTTTTACGTAGGTCGAAATGTATACACATTTAAGAATTGAATAGATCGATTATTTTATTTTTACTTTCAGGGCTCGATGAATGTGATAATCATATCTTTGTAACACATAAGATAGATTACTGACATTGTATAGACGTTGTCAATTTTTGGTAAGCTGTTGTGATTAAATTACTCGATAGCATGTTTTCCATCTCTTCTCGTGAAACAAGTGAACTATTTCTTTGCAAAATTGTGCTCATCAATGAAGAAAAATTAATGTCTCCAACTTTTCTTTTGACATTTTTGGCTATGGTTGAAAAGTTAATTTTAAGTAAATTTACTTATATAGTAATTTTTAACTCTCTCTCTCTCTCTCTCTCTCTCTCTATATGTTAGAATTTATTCAGTCAAATAAAACTTGAATAATATTACTTTGTCAGAAAGTAGGTGACATAATAGGCGTTGATAAGATGTGAATTTCATCAATCTCTGACACCTCATTTGTATGTAAATCATTATGTATAACTAGCATTTTTCAAAGTTTAAAGTAAATAATATTTTCTTATCATTCGATGAGTTAAAAAAAAAGTGTGTGAGTTGAGTTATTATAACAATAAGATAAGGCTTCCTTCCAAAAAAGCAATTATTATTTATTTATTTTACGTAAAACGAGAAAACAAATAAATTTTCTGAGATTACAATTGTCACTTAAAAATAAGGGAAAAACTCTCTAATGTGATTTTGTATCCTCCAACTTCAAAAGTGAGATTTTTGGTCCCAGACCTTTGAAATTGTCAATGTGAAGGTTAAAATGGCATTCAACTTTCAATTGATTTAGTGGTGATTAACAAGTCGTTTGCGATTTTAATTTTCGAATTGACATTTTCAATCATGTATGGACCTAGATTTTTAAATAGATCGAGAACCTAAAACTTCATTGGCTAAGTCACGTGCAATTTTAACATTCACATTAACTATTTCTTTGCACAAAGACCTATTTTTACATGTTTAAATATGTTGAGAACCCAAACCTCACTTATTAAAGAGCTAGCCCTAAATTTTTCTAAAAAATTAAAAATTGTTGTAATAGTAAGTTTATCGGTGAATACAATTGTACCATTACAACTCTAAAAATTATTATCATTGTATCCCTAATCCTTCTTTATAAATATAGGATTTTGGATCTTATTATAATATATACAAGTCTATTGATGAAATTTTCTCTTTTCTTTTTTTTCTCTATTTTATAACACGTTATCAGCACGATTCTCTGAAAATCAAAGTAAATTAGTTATAAGGTAATCACTTTTAGAAGCATAATCATCTATCATGTTTATAATGTACCAAAATTAATTTAGTGATGTGTGAAATTTTTTTTACATATATATGCATCCAAACGAGGTGGCTCTTATTCTTTTCTTCTTTTCATTTGTTCACATTATTCGTACTTTATTTTGTCAACTTATGCCTTTAATACATGCAACCATTATGTCTTCCCTGTACTTTGGATTGTGTATATTGTGTAAACTTTATACCGATGTGCGTATTTATGTAAATTTTGTGTTTGCATACATGTCCATTAATCAACTTCAATACTCTTATTTGTTTTATTGAGAGCACAACAACATTACTGTATTCAACTTCAATATATTTATTTAAATATTTTCATGTGCAGTATATTTTATTGACATGATCTTATGGATATT